GCCGCCGGCACAGTCCGCGGGGAGCCGAGCCGAGCCGTGCTGTCCTGCGCTGTCCTGTGTTGTGTCCTGGGTGATGAGTGCGTGAGAGCCATAAAGCAGCGTCTGGGGCCGGGAACGCCTGCGACCACTTCCAGGTACAGTTCGTGTGTCTGCGGTGCGTCTTGTCCATCCATCCATCTATCCATCCATCCATCCATCCATCCATCCATCCATCCATCCATCCATCCATCCATCTCTGTCTTAGTTGCCAGCTCCGGCAGGACGGTATCATTCCTCCTGGTGTTTAATCTTCTTCCTGGCTACCCAGTTCTGTACGGACAGAGCTGCTTTTTTGCGGGTATTAGGAGAGACTCCAACCCAGCAGTGGTTGGATCCTATTGGATCCTTCTCCTTGCCCCCTTCCCTGCAGGAAGAGAGAACCGGGTCCTACAACCGCACGATGTGATTTTTTTTTTCCCCCGCAAGAACAAAAAAAAGCCCCCAAAAACGCAAAAAGGGAATTTTTTTCCCCGTGGCTATAATCCTTGGAGAAGCTTTCCCTGCTTTACTTTACAGTCAGTTCAACTGACTGCTGGTTTTCTTGGGTGGGAAGGATAAAAAAGCACTAATTTACCAGATTTTGTGTTCGTAGGGCTGAGTAAAATGGGCGTGTGGGCGGGATGTGTGTGTGTGTCTTTCACTGGGCATCTGCTGAGTGTGAGTGTGGTAAAACTTCAGACTCCTGCGCTGTGTGAGGTGGCAGCAGTTCAGGGGTACGAGGAGAGTAAGGACTGTTAAAATCAGTGTTAAGTGACCTCAAATCAATGTTAAATGACCCAAGACCAGGGCGTCAGTCCAGACTGTAAACTAAGGCAGCTCTAACAAGCAGTGCCTCCCAGTCTGCCTGTGTGAAAAGCTAAATAAAACAGAGTGGGATGAGGAACTCTTTTTAAAGAGTTCTCCTGAACGGAGCGGAGGAGGGCTGACTCCTCTCAAAGGGCAAGAATGGCCTGAAAAATCAAAAGAGCCTGGAACAAAGAGGTGCTCTGTACCTCGGGCAGCTATGTCTAAGCGAGGAATGTTGAGGGGGCTGCTTTCAGTGAGATTAGCGCCGTGGTGGGCTGAGATGTCATCTGTGCCATCTGTGGGAAACTGGGACTTGGGCAGGCGGGACTGGCTCTCCGAGCTTTATTTTTGAAAGCTGAGAAGAGCTTTTTGAAGTACGGCTTCCTCAGGCTTATCTTACGGCTTCCAAATGAGATGCCTTGGAGAGAAGCTGTTAATCAGCTGAAAATCAATGCTAAATATACTCAAGACAAGTAGCTAACTGATGAGCTGTTCTAGAGAGAATAGCTGAGACCAAGCTCTGATTTTGGATAAGCAGTGGGGATATCACTGCTTTGAACAGCAGGACTGAAACAGGCCACTGTAGGATTTGTTAAATCTTTATAAAAGAGGAAAGAAATCACTGATTTAGCAGGGGTTAAGCTCACAGCTGTGCCACGCACTGAGTAAAATGCTTTTTGTGTATGGTGTGCTGAATCCCTGCTGGTTTTCATTCTTTGTGGTTTCTTTCTGCCGAGGTTTTGGGGGACGGCGCTGTGTGTTGCTGCCTGTGCCCCAGTTGTGTGGGTTATCTTTGCAGTCCTCGGGGAGAGCAGAGTCCCGGTGCCCGCCCCGGTCTGTGGGGTGAGCTGCTGTGCCAGGAGGGACAGGCACAGTTCAGCCCTGCAGCGTGCGCAGTGCAGGAATATGAACTGGAGAAGCTGACAATACGGGGCCTTATTTGCGAGCTGGGTAGTTAAAAAGTGAGGTTTTCTTGGGGCGAAGGCAGGAAGGGGTTGTGTGTGGATCATTGCCAGGCTGTGCTGCAGATCACTGTAAGGGTCTGCTGACATACGCTGGGACTGTTTGGGATAGATTGCCCGCATTTCAGAGGAGGAGGCACAATCTGGGATTGCACATGCTTAAGCATTTTTTCCGAATGTTAGTAAACACACAGGTGTACTCTGCAAGCGCTGACAAGCGCCCTTTGCTTGGCATGGGTATGAGGGACTGAGCCACATCATCTAATAAACACTTTGATAGAAAATGAGCTTGTAAACAAAGCTTCCAAAGAGCATTTTACAGCCACAGCAAGACAATGCATTAATTTACAAACAGGAGGCAAAGACTCCAGCTGAAAGCTGTTGCTAATTTCTCCTCTGTTCTAGCTGCTGTAAGAAGTAGTATTAAAAAACTAAATTGCTACTGTGAGGACCCTGAATGGGTGGCATTTAGTATGGCTGTATTTTTAAATGGAAAATGTGCAAGATCATGACAACAATCCAGCTCACTCTCCCTAAGAGGCTCCAGAATAGCACTGAATGACTCAGATCCATGCATTCTGACTATTTTGGGTTTGATTCATCAAAATGCATCTTCTCCCCAGAATAAAATATTCCCCAGGTCACCTGCACTTCCCATGGGGTCAAGTACTCTGCTTGCTCTGCTTACACTGGAAATAGGGCCAGAAATGCCAGGTAACACACGTGCAGAGAGGAGCCTGGGAGCTGTGAGCCTGCACAGTGAGACCTTCAGATTCATGAGGAATAAGACAGGATAAATAAGCTTGAGTCAGACTGGGGAGTGGGGTATTCTCTGAGCTAATTGCTCTCATTGATACAAGGGCAGGTGCTTTCTGCATGAATGTAGCATGCTGAAATGACAGTACTTGTCCATCAGGACTAGACTTGATCCTCCCTTAAGCATCCTGCAGGGATTCAGACACTATTAGGCCACGTTTGTAATGATCTTTTCACAACCCACCGTGGTGTACATTTGCTCAATATCATACCTATTGGGTGGTGACTTAATAGGTGTAGTTGTTTCAGGGCAAGGAGCATTTGACCATCGATTGCCAAGCCCAGGGGTCCACCCTCAGTCGGGCACGGGAACTGCTGCTGGTCTCAAAGGTTTGCTGACACAAACCAATCTGCTACGGCCCTGCCTAGACTGGGGGAAAAGATCTTTTCAGTCATTCTGCCTATAGTACACTTGGCTTTGATTTCCCAAGGAGTCAGGCAAGCTGATTGCAGACAACTGTTTTACAAGTCCTCTGTGCCTCTGACCCAGCTGTGTTCTAGGCTTCTTCTGATACCCAGCCTAGATAGAGATGGGTGTGAGGCAGGTGTAGCTGCTGCAGATATGGAGCTGTACTTCCTCTCTTAGCGGACAAAGTGGAACCATCCATTTTTATCTTCAATCTGGACGTTGGAAAGTGTATTTTTTTGTTGTGGTGGTGGTGGTGGTGGTTGTGAGGGTTTAACTGAAGTATTTCTGTTGAAGAACTGTGACTATACTGCTTTCAACCCACTCTACATTGAAGTGTCAGTAAAAATCATGGAAACATAAGGACTCAGCGACTGAGGAAAAAGAGATCATATTAATTGTTTGTCCTAAAACTAGCAGTTTTTCTGCATCATCTAAATGGCAGAGACATTTGGCAATGAAGTTTTAGGTAGAAACAGTTAAATGAAATTTAGTACTGTTATTTAACACTACTACAGCTTGCTGTTGTAAATTATAACTTGGCTGCCTATTATGATTACAAAAGGGAAAGGTGTTTTCTTTTGTACTGTAGGTTGCACCAAAAGGCCAGGCATGGGTGTCTGCAAAGAGCAACAATTTTGGGATTCAGAAGGTATCTTGCTTTGATGAGGTTGAAGAGGAATCATGTCAAGAGAGCTTCGTGCTTAAGGCTAGTACCATGCTCCTGGCTGTAATATATAAGATACACCTTCTGTGCACCTTTTGAAAAAAGATCTTAGTGCTTAATGAAAGGAAATAACCCCATACTTATTCTTCTTTGTACTGTCAGGCAGAGGAATGCAGTAATGAGAAACTGAGTGACTTGACTAAAGCCACAGGAGGAGCTTGTAGCAGAGTCAGAAGCAGATCCAAACTACCAGGAGCCATGTCTAAGCACTGAAATAATGCCATAATAATTCTGTTTTCTGTGGATGGATATGTGAACAGCTCTTGATGAAGCCAGTTATCACTCTGAAAAGGTACAGAACCATGCTTAGCTAATGCCCATGCAGATAGAGAACATGGATCTTCTGGCTTGGATCACCTGGGGCGGGTTAGGTTTACATCCCTGTCACATCCCAGGGTTCACATCCCTGTCAATAGAATGGATCACACTCCTCAAGGTTAGTGAAAGTCTAATAAGACAGTGATTCTCTTCTGGTGATAGTGTAGGGGAAACTGCTCCCATTTCTGTTGAAAACATCAAATTTCAGTTTTGTCAGTTTGAAGTATGCAGGAGGCATCAAGCATGCTACAGAAATAATGCAGAGTGCAGAAGTCTGTAGATACAGAGCTACAGGACTCGTGCCAGAGTTCTGATTCACTAGTGGGGGTAGCATAGCACAGGTAGTATCACAGGGCCCATCTGTGCACCCCACCCCAAACCCCATTCCTGGACATCTCAGCCACTGTGAATCAGCTGCTGAATCACTCATTTTACAGTGTGATGTTTTGCCTTCAAACTCCTGACCTCAGAACTGCAGCAATCCATCAGCTGAGTGAGGAGCAGCATCTCAGCTGCTCCTCAGCAGTGTGGGAGCTAGGGTGGTGAGCTCCAGGCTGTGGAGCTCTGCATCTTACTGGTGGATGCCAGCCCTGACAAACCAGTCTGGAGCTGCCTGAGTAGACAGGTGGGATTTTAGTATTTTAAGGCTGTAATATTTAAGAACAAATAGAGCAAATGGCAAAACTGTTCTGTGCTTCACTGGATCAAATAAGGGGAATGATTTGCTTCTAAAATCCCCACCCTGCTTCAGTAATGTAAAGAACTGGAAGGCTTTAGTAGCATTCTTGCTTTCAATCCAGCTGTCTGCTCAGAAATTTTGGTAGAAAATACTAGCTCTATATGTTTTCTGTTTTCTAGGATGGGAGATGTTTAATTGAATCCTTTGGCTGGCCTGAGACTCTTGTGCATCTTTTTCCATTTCATTCATTCTGTAAATCCCTTAAGTTTTAAAGACACACTGTGGAGCATGCAATGGACTGATCTTTTTTAGAATCTCTTGTGCCTTCTGACATTTAATTACTGTTGTGCTAATTCATCATGTCACTTACAATATATACTTATCCTGTTCATTCATGTTTT